GTTCTTTTCTTTTTTTCCCCTTACAAACCTGTAGTTTATGGAAATGGAAGGAAAACATGTTATAGATACAAATGAAGGTGGACTTCTAGGCCTACATATGCTAGGCACAGGGTAAATGCATAGAAATTACAGAAGCGATATCAAACCCTTGACAAAGTTGAGGGACATTACTTCAGCACTGGGATATAAAAATATTTTCTCAGAATTTAATTAAGAAATTCTGTGTGGGGTTAATCTGGTTTCTGTAATAGTATTATGTTACCACCACCTGAATTCAGTTGGGTTATTGCTTCATGTGTAGCTTTTGTAAGACTTAAATTGCCGTTCCAGATAAGAAGCCAAAGGTACATAAGAAAACGTCCTGACAGAGAAGGGTGTAAAGAAAGAAATGAACTCCTGTTCTCTAACCTTCACCTAGCTGAGAATACATCATTTTTCTATGGACTGCACTCTTGAAGTTATATGCTATTCCTCTTGGGGTTGAACAAGAGCACTTAGATGAGACGCATGAAACTGCTCCTTTACAAAAAGCAAGCTATTCTGTGATCAGCAGGACTTAAGAGGTCTAATTTCATGCCTTCTGTCACCTGAACTCCCCAGTAACTCACTTCCCTCAGCCCTTATCTCTTTGCTGGACATGTCAGTGTAGCAGGTTTAGACCAGGGTAGTGATGAGACGGTATGCATTCTGCCTCATTAGCCACCGTGTGCCATGCTGGGTGGGTGGCTAAGACGGGCTGAGAGAGGGCAAAGAGCTGAATTTAGAAATGGGAGCTCACTGAGGCTTTTGCTGCTTTTGTTAGGTTCCTGGGGAGGTGGTTGGGGGTTTTGGTCCCATCCCATCCCTACTCCAATTTTTATGAGTCTGGTAGCATCTTTTTCTTCCAGTTAACTTCACTTGAGAGGATTCAAAATTCAAAAGTTCTACATTTGTAGAGATGAACTAATGAATAGATAGGCAAACGGACATTGTGGTTACCTTAAAGAGGGAATGTGTTCCAACTCCCTCTTCTATATGTGAAATTATTACTGAGCCTTCAATGTTTATTTATGTATTGGACTTATCAGTGTAATAGTATTAAATGACTTTTATTTCACAAACAAATGCCTTACAGATTATGTCTTGTATTTCTTTTTTTAAGTGAATATTATCATCTACTTTATGGATGTTTTTGACGTTTTTGTGAACATTTAGAATTTCCCCACTTGGAACAAGTGATCTTATCAATCATTCTTATAAATTCTCTTTTTCTTGTGTTCTCAGTTTACCAAAAAAAAAAAGCCTTAGCTTTTCTCTTAGATCAAATATTAAAGCACACACCAGGCTGCAGTCACATCTAAACTTTTGAACTGCAATTTTTATTATTTTGGTCTTTAGAGAGAGCGCCAGATTTTATAGAATTGATAGCAACAGTTTAGCGTGTCCTCACGTCCTTTGGGAACAGTGGTGTGCTCAGAAAGATGAGAACTCATCTGAGTTTATGAGAACATAGTCGCAGTCTAGCTTTGGAAATTTGTCTTTGTGCCACCAGTGTTTTTCAAATTCTATAGAAATGTCTTTGGGTACTCAATATACTCTCCCAAAAATGGAAAGCATAAACAATTGTGATTTTTAACATTTTCTCAACGTTATTTCACTGGTGGCTGTGTTTCAGCATAGCATTGCCTCAGAATCTCAGTTTTATTATAGCAAGTTAGAGCTATGTAAATTGTCTTCTGTGTGAATGGAGTCATCTATCGGAAAGTGTGTAAGCTGGATCCTGCTTCTGTGCACTCTTCTGCTAAGAAAGAAATCCCTCTGCACACTTAGCATTTTACCATCAGGCTATGAAGCCACATTTATAAATCCCTGTGCAAGAGAATGAAATTATTCCTGGCTATTGATTGCAAGGCTGTTAGAGCCTTAATAATAACTTTCAGTTCAGCATTTCCTTCCCTTTACCTCTGATATCTTTGAGCTAGGCACCGTAAAGGACAATCAATACTGCCAATATCAGACTGTTTTGCTGTAATTTCCAAAAAATTTAAATAAGAAATTATTAGATAAGTAGGTTTTTGTCATTATGTCTTAAAAATGTAAAACAAGTAGAGAACTATTGACTGTTTATAGTGTATATATGTGTGTGTATATATGTATGCATACTTTATATATGTATATGCTTATATATAATAACACATTTCTTATTTTATATGGTGATTCTGCTTCTACTTCCTTGAATATGAGTAGGAATTTTGCCATGATGTTCTTCCCTACCAAAAATCTAAGAGACTATGTATCTTGTTAACTGCTGACTGAAAAGTAAGGCTTCACGTGCTTGCAAAAGTCTTGATGTGTGACAACAAAGCATTGAAGCCAAAATAACCAACTGTACTCTCATGGCCTGATATGAAGGAAGCAGATTTATATAGTCCTGTAGACAGTTACGTTACTTCATTTGAATTTATTGTTTTACTATATTTGAGTTTAGAATTTTTGAACTAAAATAGTTACCGGTAGCATTACCATGTTCAGAGCATTGCCATCTGTATAATGTATATATCTACAACTGTGAAAGTCAGTGGGAAAGATAACTAGAATATGTTGTCTAATATAATGCCAGGACGCTGTACTCAGTCCGATTCAGTTGTTCTTTCTTTGTCTTGAGTGCTGTTTACTTGGGTAATGAGGCAGGAATAACTAGTACTCGACATAAGCAACTCAAAAATTTCATTCTTGGGGTTTGTCAGAAGAGTCCTGATATATAGGCACTGTAATCTGTAGTGCGAGCTAACTGGTATTTTCATTTACCTTCTTTTTTTATGTAACTGCCTAAATAAAAGGCCCTTTAAAAGATAAGACTGCTTTGTAATACCTTTTTGTTTTCTTTAATCTGGCATTTTAAGAAGTGTAACCTTTCTTTTAAAATCTTATAGTGGAAATACATAATATCATACTCGTGACACCATTTTAGCAATTACCTTTTCAAGAACTTGTATTTACAATATTCTTAAAGTCAAATGTCACAGTATAATCATGTTTTATACTCTTGAATGTTTGATCCTGTTTACATCCCACTGTGAATCCATCAAAGAAATTCTGCCAGCATGGATTGATCCATATATGTAATCAAAAACTTGTCTTGTGCCTTGCTGAAGGTGTAAAGGAACCTTTGGCATTGGCAAGGTTCTGGACCATGTCAACATGGACCAGTTAACTTCAACTGTGAAGTGTGTCTGTGGCTTTTGGCTTGCAGGCATCATAATGCCACGTGATTCTAAATGCAAGATCCTCTTTCAATTTTGGCAGAAACAACTGAGGACAACCTGCACCCTCAGCACAAGTGACATGGTAGTGCTTGCCTGGGGTCTGCAGAGCGCTTGCAGAGCTCTCAGCTGATGGAAGAACCAAGAAATGGGTTGTATAGGAACCGATAGCAGCAGCAGTCACAGATGCTCTTACTCAGCTGGGAGCCCATATGAACGGGGCACAGTTCAAAGCACTTGAACTGCAAGTGGGTCATTGCTTCGCATCAGTGTCTGGCTCCCAACAGAAAGAGCTGGCAAGCTCAGGAGGGTTGAATGCTGTTCTGTAGGAAATGCCTTTGTGAGTCGGGGTACTCAACAGAAAGGCTGCAGAGATTCAGGCTAAAACAATACTCTCGTGGCAGCCCTGTGGCCAAGGCAGTCCTTGCTCTTGCAGGCTGTGTAGTATCAGTGCCCCTTCACTTGCTTTCTCAGCTCAGACCTCATGGCTTGAGACAGAGGAACACCGAGATGCTCTAAACTTCTTTGGGTGCATCCTATGGCATGAGATTTAGATGGGCACCTGTCAGAAAAGAGTGCACTGAAGAAGCTTGCTCACTAAAACAAAAGAAAGAAGGTCCAAAGAAAGTTGGTGTTTCCAAAACAATATATGATTGGTATGGTCAGCCTTGAATGTGTCCTTTTTTGCCACAATTTCTGAGCACGTAGCACAGTAAGCTATTGTTTAAAATTGAATATCCTTTCCCAAATTCTCTTGGAGAGCACTTGCCAGTCCTGCAAACCATCCTCCTTGCTATAGACAACTACTCTGTATTTCTGCACCAGAGCCCGGTCTACAAGGCACATTTCTGTACCTCATTTTTTTGTGCTAAGGTACGTCTTTGCTCTTTTTCCTTGAAGGCAATCAGTCCTCCAAAATATGCTGAAATAGGTCTCCAAATGAATTCTTAGTATGTTTGAGAATCACCACAGTAGGCAAAAGCATTTGAAGAAAAACTGATCTCAAAATAACTCGATTAAGAATGCTAAATAAATTGTACTCACCTATACAGTAAGTACCATCCTTCAAAATGGACTATCCTTGTAAATTTTCCACTGTCATCTTTCTCTCTTTTTTTTTTTCTTTTTTTCCCTTTTTTTTTTTTTTTCTTTTTTGTTATTTCCTATATTCTGGAGAGAATCCAAAGTAAAAATAAATATTCAGAGTAGTAGTGGCTTTTTCTCTTTTTTTTTTTTTCTTTTTTTCCCTTTTTTTTTTTTTTTCTTTTTTGTTATTTCCTATATTCTGGAGAGAATCCAAAGTAAAAATAAATATTCAGAGTAGTAGTGGCTTCTGCACTTTTTTTGTACTCTTGGTGAGATAAACCCACTTGTGTGATTGTGGACAGAGTGGGTACTGCTGGCAACAATTCCCATGTTTCAGGCACACCCGTGTAACAAGGCACACAGGGACTGCTCGTCTTGGAGAACCCCCAGGTACTGTTCTGAGAAAAAACCTTTCCTTAGCATTACTCTGAACCACTGGAAGGGTAGTTTAGAATTCATTTGTGTTATAGTGTTTCACCAAAAAATAGCGGAAATCTTGCAGTGCAGCTGAAAAACTTCCAGTATAGAGGGTATTCAAATACACATTTTCCTTTCTTTGATATTTTCTGTGGATATATGCAGTGTTTAATCATACAGTGCTTATATAGTTCCTTTCACTTCTTAAATCACAAGGTGGTTTTTACAACATGGTTCTTTGTCTTCTTTTCGTAGGCATTTCCTATTTAAACATGGATCTGGGTCTTCAGCTATCTTCAGCGCAGCCAGTCAGAACTATCCTTTAACATCCAATACTGTTTACTCTCCACCTCCTAGGCCTCTACCTAGAAGTACCTTTTCCAGACCTGCCTTCACTTTTAACAAACCTTACAGGTGTTGCAACTGGAAGTGCACTGCTTTGAGTGCTACTGCTATTACAGTTACCCTGGCGTTGTTGCTCGCCTATGTCATTGGTAAGCCTCGCTTTCTTTTCTGTGCTGAATTATTCTTTACCTTTTCTGTTCTATTGTCTTACTTACTTTTACACTAATACAAATCATGTTTTACTAATAATGTTTGCCATTGGGTACTTTGTAAATTCTGGCGGACGAAATGCTAGATTGGCCAGAGGTTGAATACAACATGGAATTCTCATTAACTTTCTACTCTGTTAACCTTGGTACTGCCTAATAGAGAAAGAAATATTATTCAGGATGACATGTTTATACTAGCAGAGGACTCCTACTGATTTTAATTGCTGTGATATTTTTCTTAAATTAAACATTTGATTTTCATATTAAGCCTTACAACATTGTTGCTCTTAAAGAACTATTTGGAAAAGACTGATAACGCTTAATTGTATTTCACCCTGCTCCCTTTATTTCATTTCTTCAGTCTGATCACAATTGAAATCTTTCTTTTTTTCCTCTTAATTCTTGTATCATTGGCTAGAATGACAGCTAACTCTAAAAATATGTAGTATTTTACACCATGTTTTCTGAGATATATTTTGCTGTCTCTTAATTGATTTTATGTTTCAGGAAAATGTTACATAGAATGCAGTTACTTAATTTCAAACTCATCTTTGTAAATACCTAATTTCACAATTTCATTATCACGATAGATTGGCAGGATTTATCAGAGTAGCTAGAGACGCCTGCATTCTTTTTGGAAGATAGGTATATTGGAGGTGGGCTCAGAGTCGGTATGGTTACAATCGTACATGGCAGAGCAAGTCTTTGTGACTTACTTTATGACGTTTTGGCTGAACATTAATTATCGCGTTAGTTTTTCAATCTGAACTGAAAACATTACAAAACATTAATTACGTAGAATCTTAGAATGTGACTGTGACTTCTGGAAACATAGGGAAATCTAATTAATTTTTGCTTGTGTGACGCACTTTCTCACACGTGCTCTTGGTTTGTTGATTTAGTTGCCAGTTCACAGGCAGGCAGGGGGCAGAGTATCCCCAACATCTTACAGCTTGAATGGGAATAACTCTGGATTTGCCTGAAAGAGTGGTTTGTACTTGGTAAAAATTGTATGGAGATACAAGTAGAGAAACCTCCAAACCGATAAATGACCACTGATTTTCTGTATTCTCTGAATAAATGTCTTTATGGTGAAATCTATTACAATTTCAGTCATTTTTGTTTTCCACTGGGTTTTTTTGTCCCATAGTGACAAAGTTCTGGTTACTGTCAGTGAGATACACATCAGGAGGGATTTTTTCTAACATCCTCATTTAATGCATATGGGAAAGCAGATTTGGTCACTTCTGGTGTATGATTATTTGAAAGCACCTGAGGATCTAGTAAGCTACATTAATTGCAGATTTATATAACAGCTGGTGAGCATATGCCCTCAGTTAGGACTGGCTGTATAATTTTTGCAGCCTCATCTGTTTGCTACATGTATATCCCACCCACACCATTTTGATTTTACTTGGATGAAGCACTGCCTGTTTCATCCTTGCTTAGATTTCAGTCTGCCACTGAAAATTTTTTAACTTTCTAGAGGTATACTGCTGCATTTCATCAACCTGAGAAGGCTGTAAGCGCTCCGTGTCACTATGAATTTAAAACCTCTATATTAATTTCCTGTAGATGTGTCTGTATTTATCTTAACCTGGTAACATAAGGGTGTAACGTGTTTTCTTTAGTTGAGCAGAACTAGGTAAAATGAAGATGTCTTTGTATTTTATAAATTACTAGTATTTCTAGTTATGTTTTCTATAGCAAAATATAAATCTCTGAACACGGAATTCTAATTCAGATAATTTTCCAAGGTGCCATTATTTGCTCTTGTTTGCCCCAGAAATTTTTCAGTTGCATAAGCTTTCCTGCAGATTCAGGTAGTATTAGTTAGCTTATTCTAAATTAATATTCATGCTGTCCATTTCTGGTTGGTTAAATATTTAAGTAAGTTCATGGTCTGTTCTTATGAGTCAGGTACCTTAGTTCTTTCCCTTTTGTTAGGTATGAATAATAGCAGCATATAAGCTATTTTTAAAGTTCCCTTGCTCTGTAGGGTTTCATATTTGCATATCTTTTCACGTCAAAAATTTAAATGTGCATGTTTTAAATGAGAGTAGTTCAATATACAAAATCAGACTGTATGTGACACTCTGAAGTTAAAATTCACTCCCTCGAGTATTTTCTCTTTGCTAACCATGATTCAGGTCCCTTAATCCTTATTGCAAGCAGGTTTTCTTCAAGTCAGAGGGAGTTATGACTGAGCAATGACTACAGACTTGGGCCTAAATTGCAAAACAAAACTCATTTTAATTTGAGGATCAAACTTAACTTGGAATCAGCTCAGTGGTGGTTACTGGAAGAACAAGGGAGTGTCATGGTTTAATGCCAGCCAGCAACCAAACACCACGCAGCCGCTTGCTCACTCCTCCCTGCTCCCAGTGGGATGGAGAGGAGGAAAAAAGTAAAACTAGTGGGTTGAGATAAGATCAGCTTAATAATTGAACTAAAATATAATACTACTAATAAAAAAAAATAATTGTAATGAAAAGGAATATAACAAAAGAATAAAACCCAAGAAAAGATGATGCAATTGCTCACCACCTGCTGACTGATACCTGAGCAGTGATCGGCCCCTCCTGACCAACTGCCCCTAGTTTCTATGCTGGACATGCCGTTCTATGGTATGGAATAGCCCTTTGGCTAGTTTGGGTCAGCTCTCTGGGCTCTGCTCCCTCCCAGCTTCTTGTGCACCTCCTCACTAGCAGAGCATGGAAAACTGAAAAATTCTTAACTTAAAATAAGCTCTACTTAGCAACAACTAAACCACCAGTGGGTTATCAACATTATTCTCACACTGAATCCAAAATACACTGTAGCATCTACTAGACAGAAAATTAACTTCATCTCAGCTGAAATCAGGACAGGGAGACTTTGTAAAGGCAAAATTATTTTCATTGTTTTATTTCATGGCATAGTGTTCATTAACTTATAGTGAGCTGTAATTTCAGGCCAAATGAATGTAGATCAACATTTAACACTAAACTTTTTCTTCCCCTTATCTAATAACTTAAATGTGCTTTCTCATATATCTTGCACTGCCGTTAGATGCATGAGCTACACATTACTGTTTAAAATAGGCCCAAATATCAGCCTCAAGTCAGAACGTTCCAAAGTCTTGGAAACCCAAAGCTTATTCCAGACCAAAATTTACAAGTGACTCTTATATTTGTAACAAACTGAGACCTGTGCCAGAGTGCTCTAAGCAGTGATTTCTTTTCAATCAAAGCGTAAAGTAGCAAAATGTTTTTGTTCTTTTATTTTTCAGTCTTTTTCTATTATCAGTGAGACTCAATAAAGCAGCCTTTACTTGAGAACACGGACTTCTTCTGTATTTTCTCTCCTTTGAACTAGTAGCCAGTTAATTTTTTTTTTTTCCCCCATGTTTTCACTTTTGGCTATAATCACCGTGTTTGTTATTTGGTCCTTTCTGAAATAAATTTGACTATTATATGGATAGTAAGGAAATTATGGAACCCTGTAAATGGTTCTGTAACAGCTGATTTACTGAAAATCTTTAGTCATAATATTTGGTTTATCAAGTAAAAGACATATTTTCGTTTCAACAGGAGTAATTGCTGTGAATAGGTTTTAAAGTCATAGTAGTTACTTGAAAAAAAACTCATTTCATAAAGTGGATGTTTGGTCTCCACACTATAAATGTGTGTTGAATTATTTTCTACCGAATAAAGGCATCTATACTTTTTTTTTCTTCTGTACTTTCATATATGTTGAGAACTGCAACACATTCTTGGCAATCTGGGGCACAATCGCTTGAATTTGCCCACAAAAAGGGCAGTAAGGCAGGTGAGCAATTGGAACACCCACCAGGAAGATGATGTTGGTGCATGTCACTGGTGCGCCAGCGGCTTCACCAGCGGCTTCACCAGCGGCTTCACCAGCGGCTTCACCAGCAGTTCCTGAGAGCGTGGGCAGAGCTGTGGGAAGTGGGCAGAGCGTTTGGTTAAGGCAGAGCAAAATTGCCAGTGGAGTGAAAGGCTGACTATGGAAAACTATGGAAAACAACATGAAATGGGCAAAATCTGCCTGCTAGCACTTGCTGGGTCTGGAGGGCATACGAGCTGTGTGTGTTTTAAAGATTTATGCAAATGAATGCTCAAATTTTTTAAAAAAAAAAAAAAATTCTTGAGGGAAAATTATTGAAATCCAGTTACCTTAAAGTTTTTCTATTTTTGATTGTAAAACAGAAATGGATAAGTCCCTGGCTATGTGTTGATGTGTATTTCTCTGTCATGAGGTGTTTGAAAGGACTGAGCTGGATCCATGTCACCAGTCTGGGCTCAGATATTTACAGAGATGGCACCTTGCAAAAGGAAAGTATGGAAAAAAAAAAAACCTGAAATTTCTGTAATACTTTTTAAATAGTTTATCTGGTAAGTAAGATGAGGACTAACAGACACTGTTTACATACTGATGTCCAAAGGCATGTAACATAGATTCCAAGTGATGACATGAAAGACAAGAACATACCTGTTTGATTCAGTGCAGTCACTAGTTGTGTCTGTCTGTTCATCTATTGGTCTGCGTTGCTATAAAGAGTATAAAACAGGCTACCATTGTGGAATGGTATAGCAAATATTCCCTTTTTTTTTAAATCTCATTGTAATAAAAACCTAAGAAGCCATCAGCAATTAAAGAAGAAATTTGACCAAAAATGTAAGAGTAAACAAGGCAAATACAAGAGATAGAATAAGAAATACAGTATTTTTCCTGTAATTTTTCAGCACCAAGCCATTTTCTTTAAGTACAATACAATGTTTGATGTGACTGCTCATCTAGTCAGTTATTTTTAGCCCATTAGTAAGTAGGATTTTTCTTCCATGGTACCTTACCATTTTATCAGCAGCTGATTTGGACTTGCAAATCACTGGTCCTATTGATCAAAGGTGCTGAACTCCTACAGTTCCTATTGATTT